TATATATATATATATATATAGACTTTGAAACGTGGACATAGTTGATGGTGCATACCTCGTCTCGTATGAACGTATTGTTCTCTCTTTTTCTCTCTTTCTCTCTGTTCATCGTTCTCCTGTAGATTGTGGCAGAGTAAAATAACCTTTAGCCAATCAACCCTTCCTCTTTGTAATTTCCACTGTTGAAATACTCGTCCAGGAGTACACGTTGATCGTTTTAACTGTCGTTCGATTGAGTTATTTGTTTTTGGTGGTAACAAAATGTCGGTGTCCTATATAGAGTGTGAATATTTGAAAGTAAAATTCTTGGGAGCTGTATTTTTTCTCTTTTTTTAATGGATATCGTGTTGAGAACGAAAGTTGCTCGTACTCAATGGAGTATCCACTCGAGAAAAATTCACTCTCGAGAGTTTCACTTTGAAATTCACCCCCTTACCCTTGTAATTTCTCACGCTTCGCTATGTATTTTTGAATAGACGTAGAACCAACCAGTTTTTAACTAATCTCGATCCTTTAATGTTACTCTTCCGCAGTTGATAATTGATAACCGCTTGCTGTTCGCTTTCCATGTTCAGAGTCTCCGATTTGCGCGCAAGGTTCGGTGCTTTTCCTCGACAGACGAACGAAAGTAACCAAAGGTAGCTCTTTATCCCCTAATCACGATCGAAGAACTTTGCGTTTTTTTTCTCTCTCTCTCTCTCTTTCTGAGAAAGCGAAGCGTTAAACAACTCGAATAAATCCAAGTCACGATCCTCCTTTTAACTTTCGATTCCTCTGTATGTAGAAGATACGATTCGCTTTGCCTCGTGAATCATGAGCCGATTATCGTCGTGCAACTTCTCCACCCAAGTATCTTAACATTGCGAAACATTGTTCAGAGACCAACACAGAGAATTATCGCTTAAAGTTTCAGGAAGATATATTATGTCCTGTTCCATTCGAATGGAACTTGGCCCTGTCTGCGTGATCAAGCGTAGACATTGCATTCAAACGTTTCTTCTTTCGAGGAAGTCGAAACGTAGCTACGTAATCTAGTATGTCAAAGACGTTTCATCCGATGGAGCGCAAGGAATTCACGAAAAAGGAGACGCTAGTGTCTTGTTCGCGTGAGGGAAGATCGCTAGGGAGATGGTAACTTTTCTTCTCTTGGAAAATCGCGACGACACGGGCGAAGATCTAAGGCTCTTTAGGGAAATTTTCTATTTTTTTTTTTTTTTTGAAAATAATATACATAGAAATAGTTATTTCGTTCTTATTTTTCCAAGATCAATGCATATAACGTTCAATTGTAAAATCGATCGATTTTATTTTTATTCCATGCCGATATCGAAAATTCTCAGCATCGTTCAACTTCTAATTTATTTCCAATAGCCTCGAGATCATTGAAGAATATTTTTGAATGAAAATTTTCAAAGATTCATGTTAAAATTTCCTCGTGTGTGTCAAACATTGATGCTTTGATAATTACAATGAAATTAAAAAAATTATTTTACGAGAGCCATACCAGAAAATAAACTCATCGCTTGGTCTTGGAAAACTTTCGATCGACTCCAAATTCGATCCACTAATATTATATCCAAACCCATACCACCTTCCTTAACCGACATTTCTCGGACGTTGGAGGCAGGTTGACTGCAGTCGATGTTCCAGGTCGAGTCTCAGGTATCGAGCCCTCGAAAGGCTCTGCGCCGTAAACGCTGTCGTGACAAGACAGTCCTTGCGGCTGCGGCAGATCAATCGAGAGGCTCGACTATTAAAGTCGGTGTCGCTGTGTCGGGCAAACAGTCCTCCCCTGTGTGTGGAGGGCACGTTTCGCGTCGGCTGTGGCCTGCTCATGCTCGCTTCCTCCTTCTGGTATCGGAAAATCCGCGTGACACACCGAAATCATCGTTTCGACGCGCAACAGTTACCTCGAATCGTTGAAGTCGTTGCATTCGTAACTAGTAATTGGGATATAAATAACATTCGAGATTGGAATTTCGAACTTAATAGAATTTGAATCAAATCTCGTCGAACAATTCAGTGGTGCTGTTGTTTCTTTGTTATATATGATGAGGAACAGTGAAGAGAGAACGTGACGAAGAAGAATCGAGGGTTTCTTCGTTTCCTTAAATCTTCGAATGCCTCGAGATTCACAAGGGTTGTTCCATTTCTCCAACGTGGAAAGATTCAAGAGAATTTCCAAACTGTTGTACTATTTCCACGCGAACGCGGCGTGGTGGGAAGATTCGGAAAATTTGAGAATGTTTCGATTCGACTATAGGATTGTTCTTCTTAAAACGAAGACGTATCCATGATCCTTGCGTGACACGCGATCCATCATTTCTCGAGGTGTAATTATAATTCTAGACCTTGGAGCTTCTGGCGAGCATAGATCGTCTTCGCGGCACAGACTGGCTCGACCAACATCGTAAATCGTTATGTTTCTCCGATGATCTCATTCTGCATCTTTTTTCGCGTATAAACGGATACTTGGACGACATAGAGAGAAACGTAAGATTCACGTGGAAGCACGATGGTAACTCGCCAAGACGGAGATCGAGAAACTCTAGTTATCCCGGAGCGGGCCAAGCGACGGTAGGGCTTGGGATTGATCAAAGTGGTGTGTACAATCAGACGAGCCGCGCGTTTCTTCCAACGATAAAACTTGGAAATTGTCGCATCGAAGGGAAATTAGTTACTTTACAATTACGTGGTTGAATAATTTCGAAGGAGAAATAATAAAGTGGCAAGGAAATGAAAATTTCGCGATTGGCCAGACGATCGTTGTCGCGGCAAGAATCTTATTTTAAAAACTGTTGTTCGATAGAGGAAACCGAATTTCTAATCTTTCGATTCCTTAACAAATGAAAGTCGGATGCATCAAGTTCCTCGAAAATTCCTTCCTTTCCCGATGAATATTTTTCCTGGGGGAGACAAAATAACGAGGTTGATATTCCAATCACGAGTGTAATCTCAGAGAGCTACCGTTCGATAAATTATCGATGAAAGAACGAATTTTCCCCCCGTGCGGGAACTGGATCGACGAAAGAAACGCGGAGAGCGAAAAAAAAAAAAGAATCGCGATATGGAATTGCAAAAAAGAAGAGACGCTTGCGAGCGTAGGGAAGCTGCCTAGGGACGCTTTCGTGATCGTCGAGCACCGTCACCACCACCACCATCGGCGCTGCTTCTTCCACTCGTTGTAAAAGAAACTCGACCGAAAAGACCACCCCTTGAAAACATCATTGAAACGAATCATCACACTCGCCTTATACCTAAAAACAAAAAAAAAAAAAGAAAAAAATCGGATCTAAAGAGGAAATGAAAACGTTAATTAATAAACACGAAAATCGACACGAAAAGAAAATGGAAAATCGAAAATCGAAAAGATAATCGAAGCAACAACCGCGTCCTCCTTGTACGATTCTCTTGTCCGTCACACACTGCCCTCTCTCTTTCTCTCTCTCTCTCTCTCTCTCTTTCTTTCTCACGCTCAGTCAATCATGAATCTTATGTTCCGCAAGAACTTCAGCGAGAAGGGATT